TGTGTGTGTGTGTGTGTGTGTGTGTGTGTGTGTGTGTGTGTAGGTACCCAGGCACTCACATAACCACAGGAACTTGCCTGTCTCCTGCCAGGCAGCAAGTCCCTCCCCTTGATGAGAGGAGGAGGAAGGCTTGGCGTCAATGTATAATGAAACCATCTCAGAGCTGCCGTGGCCTGACTCACCACTGGAGACTGCCGTGCCAGGCTGTGCTGTGGATGCTGAGCTGAGCGGCTGGCACCACCTCTCCATTGGTGCCTTCAGGTCAATGCCCTTCGGGGACCCAGCAGCACCAGCAGAGCACAGCACAGCACAGTCCTGACCGGCTGGGAATCATTCGGTGAAGAGGCACTGCCTGGCGGAGAGGCAGTGGCTGGAGAGAAGGGTCAGAGGGCACAGCTGGGGGGCCTCCGAGCCACCCTGCATCTGCCCTGCAATAAAAGATCGCATCTTCAGAAGTTGCGTTCCTTTCCTCCGCGGCTGCAGTGCCAGAACCATTTTGTGCCATCGGGCCTGGCCCTTGACCACTTCCGCTGGACACGGGGATACTGTTCATCACGTTCTCCACCCTCTCTGGTCTGTCTCCTGATGGGAACCCCGCTGATCAGTGCCGCTGGGGGCCCTGGCTATCAAGTCTCCTGGAGGTCCCTGGGGCCATGTGACCAGGCCAGGCTTGGTACCAAGGCCTGTCATGGGGGCCACCATGTGGTACCCAGCTGGGGTCTTTCTGGGCGAGGGACCAAGCTTGTGCCTAAGTCCCTCTCATTCAAGAATCAGATCTCATCCTCTCTTCATGTCTCCCCTCTCTCATTCCACTATTGTTTTTGTCCTTCCAGGCTTAGTCTGATCATGAGAATTCACCAGCAGTCATGCTTGGCAAAGCGAATGTACGACGTACGGGATAAAATAGGATTCTGAATTCCATTTGATGGCCACTTTGGAGCCTGTATTCAAACGCCCATTATTTTGTCACTTTATATTAGTCCATTCCCTATGACAAGAAATGTTGTGTCTTCCTGATTTGCATTTTAATACCTTTAAGAATTGCTTATTTCCAAAATTTGGATGTATGTAGCCTGTTCATTGACTGGAGCTGCTGAAGGGGAAGACAGGGCCGTTAAGGGCTTAGGGGAAGGACTGTGTATATTTTCCAGTGATGTCTCACACTGGATGGTTGCATGCAGTCCCACTGTCCTGGCCAGGAATGAATTCGTCCAGAATATGATTTGATCGGTGACCCAGCACCCCTGTCACTCTGTCCTTCCATACCTGCAAACTGGGCATGGAACTGTCTGTCCCACCTCCTCCACAGTGTGGCGGGGCTGGAAGACAAACGAGAAGTGGCTTTGCTTTAATACACTCTCCTCCAAAAGAGAATTAAATAAGCAAAGTATCTTATCACAGGGTTTTTGTAGGGTCCCTTTGTTGTCAGCTGCTGTCCAATTGGTCCCTAACTCAGGACTATTTCACACATAAAGGGCAATCTTCTGCCCAGGCTGGAGCCATCCCCCAAATCCGTTACAGATGAGACTGTTGCCATGGTAGGATTTTTATTTACTAATTTTTTTTTGAGAACTTCTCCAAAACCTTCTCAGGCAGCAGGGGCCAGGAATGGAAGCCAGGTCTCCCTGTGGAAGATGAGGCTTCTCCACGGATTCACCACTGCCAGGCCTGGAGTTCCAGCAGGAACTTCCAAAGTTGCCACTTAAAACCTTCTGCCAACTCAGCCGTAATAGAAGCAGTAACACGAAAATAGGTGACATGTGCTTTTAAGAGGCAATTTTCTCTCCATGGCTCGCTTTCTTTTACATAGCTCGCATTTGGCTTTTCATTTCCAATAAAAAGCCACTTAGGGATTTTGCTCAGCCAAGCGCCACTGCAGGTAAACCAGACAAGCTGAGCCCACTACACAGAGAGTCACAGCGGGCTGTGCCAGGCAGGGAGAGCCCTCTGGAAGCTCAGGCCGCCTCTCTGGGGGCTACAGATCTCAGGGGCTCATCTAGGGCCCAGCACGTGTGCTGTCCGGTAAGTTTTACCTCCTTCTCAAGCCTGACAGGCCTTTGCAGGGTCTTGAAAGTAACGGTTCTGTAGAGGAGACTGTCCCACCCAACAGATTAAAAGGTACTTTAAAAAGGGGGGGGGGTTCTAAACATGTATTTCCATACACAGACCATGAAGATATATCTTGGGTGTAAGAAGCAGCCATCCACGTTAGGAGCAGAGTCTGTGGAAGGGTTAACCCGGAGCAACTCTTGCCCCAGGGTACCTTCCATCTTTTGTGCGACAGGACAGGCCGGTGTGAGAAGTGAGGGCCAGAGACAGAGAGCAGGCAACCTTGGTTTCAATCAAGAGCCTGGAAAGCGGGTTGTTGTTGCTTTGTTTTTCTGGAAGGCTTTTGTTCCACATAGTCTCCTTTCTGGGCCTTACCTGGGATGTCAACAGTAAGCACATTCGGACCCAAGGCAAGTGCTGAGTCATCAAAATTTACTTAATGAGCAGAGAACACTGTGGGTGCCATGCTCCTATAGGCCACCTTCATTCTCAGGCATATCTTGGCCATTGCGCAGCAGCCTGGCATTCCTTCAAGCGAGCAGGCACTTGCTTGACAGGCAAAGCATTCCAATGACAGCCAGCCTGCTCCCTAAGCCCAGTCTGGTCAAGAGGAGCGCAGGGGAGCTAGCCACCTAGGTGCAGTGCCTCAGCTTTAAGGAAGCCCCAAGCAGGCAAGAATCCATGGAGAAGCAAATGAGGCTTCCTCTGTGTGTCTGCCTGTGCCTGCAGGAGTGGCTCCGCTGGCCAGTTTTAGGTTCTGCCCCATAGATGGGAAGGGTGCCCCCAGAACTGCTCAGAGCTGCACTGGCAGTCACTGAGCTGCAGGCTGGCACTGCAGAGGCCTCCTGCTCCCAGCTTGGTTCAGCACGCCTGTCTCCTGGTGGCTTTTGTTTGTTTCCAAACTCAAAAAGGTGCTCTTTCCTGGCTCCTCTCCCAGCAGCCCTAGCTGCCCTGTTCAGCCAGTCTACCAAGGTGCCTTTGAGGGGTGGATTGACCCCGAAGCCAGACCAGCCCCTGCACCCAAGCCTGAGCAGGAAACGGTCTACGGCTTCTCAGGGCTGGTCCTCAGCACCCCCCAAACAGTGGTGGTTCAGCTGAGGCAGCTGAAGACTGGCTTCTCCTTTAACCCAACCCTCTACAGACAAGTCCCAGGCAGAGGACTCTGCGAACCCCCAAAGGTCCCGGTCTCCATCCAGTGCCCTCCTGTGCACTGGTGGCAAGCCCCAGCGCTGCTGGGGAGGCTGTCAATGTCTCCTTCCAGGTGGTCCTGTGGCCCCTGGAGGTCAACGATATTGTAACCCATTAACCTGGGGTGACAGACAGAAGCATCTTCTCTCTCTCTCTCTCTCTCTCTGGGAATGGCAGCTGGGCCAATGATGGCTTCTATTTACGTGCCTGACAGAGACTAAACCTCAAACTGGGATATTTCCTTATCATTATGCACAGCATACCATTCCTTCTAAAACCAACTTGTGTGGTTACATGTGGGCCAAGTGGCCTAGCAGAGGGTGGGTGGGAGGGCTGTCCAGAGGTGGGAATGGGGTCATCAAAGGAAGGGAGAAGGGGAAAGATGGGGGGTGGGGTGTTACCAGCTCTTCTCCACCACTGGGCTTGACCCATCACCACAGGCTGCTGAGTGGAACCTACCTGCCTGGCCTTGAGCATTCTTTCCACTCCAGAGGAAGCCTTTAGCGGATTCTGCAGGAAGACAGGAATGCGTACTGTAAGGCACTTCAAGGCAGACTTAAAAAGCTGTTGTGGGGATTGCTCAGCTCTGGACACAGCCACCTCTGAGTTCTGCTACAGGGCCAGCCCATTGCTGGTCTTCTTGCAAGCTCACCACCCTCTTCCTCTGGCCAGCCTCCAGCATGTGGCTGTTCATTAGCACCTCGCAGATGCTGGGGAAAGAAGGTGGGGGGAGCCCCGAGACTGCTGGTGCTCCCACCAGAAGCTTTATTCTGGAGGCTCTTTGCTTTCTGTGAATATTGTCTGCCTGACACCGGACTCTCTGGGCCAAGAGCAGTCATGTGGCTTTTCTGGTTCATGGTGATTGAAAACGAGGCTCGTTGCTAAAGGCCCAGTGCCCTGAGCAAGTACTTTGGTGAGGGGCGTGCTAGTGATTGAGTTGGAAAGGAGGCTGAAGTTGGTGGTGGTCTGAGGAGGTGAGCCCATTACCTCTGTCCTGTAGGTCCAACAGCCCCAAGGCAAATCTTGTGGCATTTCCTTACCTGCGATTCCTTCAGCTGCAGGGATGGTTGTGGGGGGAATTATAAAACAGAAACTAGAAGCTTTCTTTGAGATCTGCTGACAGG